TTGTCGGAATAGGAATGTGCATGATTGTTTATTTACCTTTTCGTTTTCCCAAGATGGAAACCGGTGTAACAACATCCTACATCTCCACTTTCGTTTTTAATCGATGTTCTGATTATAATGCAGTATCACGTCCTAGATTGCCATGTTGATCATGGTACTTATATATTAGATGAACCAGATAAACAGAACACAAAATTTCAGTAGTTGGTGGATTGACTTCATCAATTTGGCTGATAATATTTTAAGAAGCTCAGCTACTGTTGGATGTAAAAATTGCAATTTCCATATTGAGTACAACGTGTCGAGACTTGCAAGGGGCCGCCACAACGCTTGTTCAGACGTGCAAAGGAAACGAAATACAACCTGCATGAACTTGTTTGAGAACCGGAGTTAGACGGGTAGTTTTTTCTTCTGGAGTTGGAGTTGGATGGAGTCATTTTTTCTGTTATATTCTCTATGGATCCTCGGTTAATAAGACACACTAGTTTTCATAATGTTTAATGATTTAATCAGGACATAACCTTACATATCAAGATTGTCGAGCGGAATGGACTCTCAGTCAATCAAAAGACGACAATCTACTGTCAAAAAACATAGAACATGGAGCACGAAATACATGATACAACTTACAACATTTTTGATTTTGACATACACTCGCAATCAATTAATTAATTACCCAATCTTGTTACTCGTATTCGAAAACTGTTGATTCGTGGTTGAAACTCAGTCGCAACGCAAATTCATACTTAGACTTGATCTTCACCAGAACCAGAAAAATTTTGAAAGTGGTGTATGATAAAAAAAGTTCGGGAACCTCTGCTTTAAATAATAAAATCTCAGTAAATATTCAATCAATTCAATCGAAATCGATTAAATTTGGTCCGCACTATATACAAGAAATCCGGTACTGGAGATTCTCCACGCCCCGTATTAGGCCTAACAATATTTCATAACATCAGTGAATAACCCGTAACGAGTCAACCGAAAAGGGGGTATCCCAGATTCCACTTTCCAATAATTACAAACTTTATATACTATGCTACATTCGGCTGTTGCTTAGGCATATTTCACCGATGCGGAATCTTCATCTTGTCTCGCGGTGTGTGAGAAAACACACATGTACGACGGCAGTGGAGCTTTCTCTTCTCGGTTAAATATTAAACAGAAATGATGTTTCGTATATTTATGGTTATTAATGATGAAATTAAGTGTCAACCCAGTATTCCAGAAAGTTCTGGTGGAATGACAGATGGAAATACAGTTTTATTGTAATTTTACTACTAAATGATTGCTGTAATCAGTTCATCAATAACGATTTTCAGCGTTATCATTTCCTACCATTTCTTCTTTTCCCAAGATTCAAGAGACCCATCAAAGAACGGTGTTTTGCGATAATTGAAGACATAAAAACCTAATTCAGACCTGGATTTATGCATGGGAACTATAATAAACTATGGGCCATCATAACATCCTGGTTTTTGAATCACAACTACAAAAGTATATTAACTTTTGGGTCCCCCGTATACAAATCGAGTAAATGATTATCAGAAATCTAGGATAATCTATGCCGGGAGATTGTTAAATTGATGGCTGGTTTCGCAAGAACATCATTTGTGGGTTTCTCCCAAAAAAACTTGAGTAACAACATTAAAGCAGCTTATAAAGATATATAATTTTTCAACAGTAATTGTGTAAAATCATTTTCCATGTAAAAGTCCATTAACTCAACCAAAAGTGAGCCAACAATTCGGTTTATTCTTGATGAAAGGATTAAACAATTAATTAAAATAATAAATTGCGAATCGAAACAATCAGTGTTCGGTTAGAGTAGTTGCAAAAATGTGTTTAGTCCTCTAGCACGATTTCATGAACTAATAATGAAGGATCGTTTTGTAACATCTGAATATTCATTAATTTCCATCAAAGAGTTGCTAAATTCGTGGAATCGATAGACAACAGAACTACTATCAAATCATGCCTGTGATCATGCTCTGCTCAATGATCCATGCTGGAAAATGATAAATGTTTATGTAATGAAGTTGCATTATTTTACCGATGACTTTATTATTATCTCGCTGAACGGTTACCTACTACTTTCATTATTGCATTGCATAAATTCTCATCCATTCTTCCGCCCTCATTTGCTCTTACCAGCAGACAATTCTAAACATCATTCTTGCTTTATACAGCGTGTTAATTGGAGAACTGACAGTTCCAGAAATGTGAGAATAGATAGCAATCAAACCCATGATTTTGGATTTATTTAAATGAATTCCACTCTTGTAAAATGAAAATTCTTCAACAGATTCAGTCATTTACTATAACCCAACCTGAGGCTTCTAGATTTTTTCCTGTGGGGCGAGAACATAAAGGTATATGTGTACAAAACTTTCAAAGCAAATGAAATACGTATAAAAATACGTTTCTTGATGACATCTACTGAAGAAGTTGATCAAGTTTCCGACCTCAACGTGAAGATAGCAACACTCGTAAATAAAAGGTACAAATTTCGTTGTTCATCTGTCTGGCCTGATGACTTCGACAATTGCGGAACTAGCCAAACCTCACACCCATGCTCAATCCCTAAAGAGATGGAATGGAGTCAAAGGATGCACATTCTGGAATGTGTTTCAAAGAATAGTTGTAATTCAAATACTTCTTCATAAGGGGTGCCGCAGCTTTCATTGGGGAACTAATTCATGGCCTCCTCGCCCACCAGACTTATCACTAATAGATCACTTTAGAGCAGTGGCATAAAATGACTCCCGTGAGTTATCACCCTGTATTCTATTTGAACAACTTCCATTCCACATGAATATTATTCTGTCGCAACGCCGATTATTCCATAATCTCGTCAAGCGAGGACCGTAGTCCACTTGGAAGCCGCAGCATCGTCGGCGTTCTCTTTTCGGTCGCATCATTACATCCACTAGATTTACACACAATATCAGATGGTACTACTGGCTGTACTTTCACTTCTCTATTAGCCGTGGGGCCAACAAGGAACTATTACTTTCGATATCTAGGTGCAAAAATTGTTGCACTGCTGGCTTATAATGACGTGTGAATTACGGTAAAAAAATGAAAGGATCGTTTGAACTTTGTAGACAGCGTTCTCGAAGCAAATATTTTACCTCTGACGATATAAGTACCAAAGTACCTGTTGCTAAGTTACTTCATGACATGAAGTTCCCGACTAGGAAAGTATTTAGGGACCCCAACACTTTTTATACATCCCCAATAACAGAACGGGGCCACTTGGAATCAATTTTTACTTTGAAAATTCAACATCCTTTGACGTGGATGAACTTGATAAAACAAATCGGTTCCAGTATACAGGGTGATTCAAAAGTACTTTGACAAACTTCAGGAGGTGATTCCTCACAATATTCTAATATGAATTGTCCAATTAAATAAATGTCCGGAAACGCTTCGTTTCCAAGATACAGGATGTTGAAGTTTTATTTTTATTTTCGTTTTTTTCAAATAACTTTTGAAATACTGAACTTGATCAAACGAAACATGGTAATAGGAGGTTTTTGAGGTGTCGAATTCGAACCTGATGTTCTTATTGCTCTTACTCGTAGAGGGCGCCACCTACACATCTTTATCTTTTTTAAAAGTTTAGGTGGCGCTCCCTACGAGTAAGAGCAATAAGAACATCAGGTTCGAATTCGACATCTCAAAAACCTCCTATTACCAAGTTTCGTTTGATTAAGTTCAGTATTTCAAAAGTTATTTGAAAAAAACGAAAATAAAACTTCAACATCCTGTATCTTGGAAACGAAGCGTTTCCGGACATTTATTTATTCGGTACTTTTGAATCACCCTGTATGTCAACCTTCAATACTTTCCTTTGAGTCGTCAACACAAAAAGAATCAGTTCCAGAGAAGTTGAAATATGTTCAGGTCTCTTCTTTACAGTGATCTGAATAACTACAGGCGAATAAGAATTCTTTCCAGCATTTAAAAACTATTTGAGCCGAAAATGAATAACTAGTAGCACGCTTTCTTTGTTGACGTACCATAGTTTCATAAAAAACGGACAGATTCTGTCAAACTCGATCAATCATACCTTATAGACTCAAGGTGTTCCACAAGGCTCGATCTTGAGACCTTTTCTATATGTGGTTCACGTAAATGAAGTTTTGCGGAAGATACTGATATATTTTTAGCATACACCTTATATGTACCTCAAGGTACTCGTTAGAGTTTGATCTTGGGATCTTGACTTTATATTGTACATGAAAATGAGTGGTCTGATAATGCATTTAATATCGCAGACAGAAAGAAATAACCAGTTTATCGAGTTCGGCACCACCATCACCATCTGACCATAGAAACTAATCGGCTTCGTTAAGAAGCCGAGTTTATTTGGCCGATTTAGGTGTTAGCCACTCTCTTTGGACTTAACCTAACCTAGGTCTCACATGCCATAAGTGTCTTCACTAGATTTATTTTACGTCAAAGATTCCTGTTTTATCCATCAAAATCATGTATGGATGGATATTATGTAATGCTATAATTGATGTAGTTCACAATAACTTTGTTATACTGTTTTTATTTCAATATATTTAGTTGAAAAATGATTATCCATATCATGTTTTCACCTTTTATAACCATTTTATCATAACTTTTGTAGAATATTATCGGCGTTGATCTATGATCTAACTCATGTTTTTTCCACATATTCTCATTCATGGTTTTGAACTCCTTTGAATTTACTTTGAATTTAGAACAGACTAGAATGAAATCGTTCAATCTCATAGTTTTTCCTTGATCACTTTAGTTCTCATGAAATTACACCATACTTGAATGATACAAAGCAGCATTCCCACAAGTTGATGCAATACCCTCGAGTTATGCTCATTGAAATTGATATTTTAATTATTCGTTGTGCATTGAACGAACCATGTAAACGATCACATTCACTTCGAATAATTTTAAAAGCACTCCCCTCCTTACAACCAGCCAACTGATTTGCTTTCTGTTTGTTCCAGCAATTCGCCCCAAACACCGATCGAAATCAACAGCTTTCTCCCCAGCAGCAAGGACAAATACTGAGCGACATTCAACAACACCACAGATTCGACTTGGCACAAAACCAGCAACACTTCCAACCCCAACACTTTCGCCTTTCCCAGAATGTATTCACTCCCATCAACCCCACCATTCAATCCACCCAGCAAACAGAGCTTTCAAACTACCAGTTGCAACAGCAGCAATTCGGCATAAACAGCCAAGAAACCTTTGGTCAGAAAGAATTTTTGAACACTCTACCACTGGTCAACTCTTTGCCCGGTAACATCGTGCCTACCCCACAACAATCCTTCCAGCAGTTGACTTCGCCTACCGTGCAGACAAACAACCAGATTGTCTTCCCAACTAGCCAAAGTATCAATACCGGAAACACCGTCATACAGCACCATACACAGACTAATTTTCAACCTGCCTATTCCTTTGGTCGGTCAAGAAATATCCAGCAGCAAGAGAACACTCCTAGACCAACTACAGACCCAATTGCTTTGATAGAACAACAAATAAGATCTCTGGATCCCGAGAAGAACAAGCAGAAAATAAAGGAGTTGAAAGAAAAGCAGGCCATAATAGAGAAGCACAATCAATTCGTTGAGAAACAGTACGAGAAGTCTTTGAAAAAAGCTCAAGAGGAACACGAAGAGTTCATAAAAAAACAACAGGAACAGAAGAGAAAGTTATACCAAAGAGTTTACGAATCTGCTGGGGATGATAACGCGCGAAATTTCCAATCCAGCCGTACCAGGGTAATCTATCCAGACGAAGTGGGTCTTTTCGAGCAGGCTGTGAAGCAGTACTACCTAGAACATCCAACTACCACAACAACCACAACTACCACAACCCCCAAACCTTCCAGTGCTACTAAAAATGGTAACAGAGTGATAAAACTATCTTCTTCGTTCGCCCCAACTGCGCTACCCCAGACAAAAGTTAAAACTATCCAGTCTTTGGAAGACTTGGACCAACTGCAGAAGCAATACCGATCGCAGAGGATCCGCAAAGACGACTTGCTGGAGCAGCTTCGTTTGGCAATTGGGAAAAGCCAAGAGGGTGAGCCGGAGAAGAACCTTTCCTCCAGGGAAATATCTTTGGCTAGTGGCAAGAAGGTGCAGCTCATCACCGCTGATGACTCCACCAAGATTCCTAAAGGTAAAGAGGAAGAAATAACTCTGCCGGATGGAAAGAAGGTCACTGTCATTAGAGCTGATGATCCCAACAACAAAAGCGATGAAGAGGTAGTTTTGCCAAGCGGTCATCAAGTTCAAATTATAAGAACTACCGACCCCAAATCGATTCCCTTTGGAGACTCGGACGGGCCTCAAGAGATAACGCTTCCAAACGGGCAGAAGGCACAACTAGTAAAGTCTACAGGTTCAAAACCCACACCGTCCACACCTGCTGTGTTCAAAACTGAGGAAATAACGTTACCTAACGGGGAAAAAGTGGAGGTGATAAAAACTTCGGATCCTAGTTTGGTTCCTGGAGGAGTCCAGCTCGAACCAGGTAGCGATTTAGAAAAACTGGTTCTGTCGAGAACAACTACCACAACTACTATTAAACCTCCAAAGGAAATTCTGCAGGAACTCACCAAAAACGTGCCTTCGAACGAGTATGAAATTTTGAAGACCGGGGCTAGCGGTAGTTTGGAATCCATCGGCAACAATCTTCCGAAAGAAAAGAAGGTCACCTTCGTGCTTTTGGAAGAGCAAAGCGATGGTACGTTGAAGGTTCAGGGAATCAAAGGGAATGGCAAAGACAAACCGGACGTAGACGTAGATTCTATTCTGAAGAAAATCAAGCAAGGCGAGATCAAACTGCCCAATACCCAGACGGTTAACACGACCACCACAAGGCAGCCGAAAATCGTGACCACCTATCGACCAAGTGTGTCTGTTACTGTCACTCCGAACTCTTTTGCCACAGAGGAAGAAGACGATGAACCGCTGTCGACTCTGAGAACTTTCAACTCTGAAGATGACGCAAATGTACCAATTTTGAAAACCAATATCGGAACTCAGTTCGTGGCATCTTCAACACCTGCTACATCTTTTTTTACCGAGCAGTACTCGCCAATCATCACCTCTACGGTTTCACCTCCGACAAGAAAAGTATCCAGGACTCCTCGCATCCTGAATAGTCGTCCAGGAGACCAACTGAATCAGGCCTCTAGTGTGTCTTCGTCAAACCAAAACTCAATAAACACCTCCCCGAAACCTACATACTCGACAACGTCTTCGGTGAGCATCCAGCAAAGCATCTCGCATGAGAGCGTTTTCCCCACTCAGGAAACTTTTACCACAACAGCTCCAAAAGCTCTGGAGCTTCCAGACATCTTGAAGAAGAACGGATTGTACGCCATGGCTAAGTTCTTGCGGCAGTCTGGTTTGGATACGATTTTGAACGAAACAGGACCTTATACGGTGTTCGTACCCAGCGACAAAGCATTCAGGACTCTGTTGATTCAACTTGGAGGGCCTGAAAGGGCAGAGGAGAAGTTCAAGGATAATCCAAGACTGCTGAGTGGGGTGAGTTTAGATTGATGAGGTGATGAATATTGCTGTCACGAGATTTTTCTTTAACATAGAAATAAGATATGAATCAGAAGAATGTGACAATGAGGATGAGCCATCAATTCGATATGTTTTTTTAATAATCGATTGGTGTATCTTATTAGAGATTTCGTGGGTATCAATAATAATAATCAATATCCTATTCTAGTCATAGAACACAATACCGGACGTCTCAATTCGATAAATGACACATATGACAGCTCCTTGATAGACAATACCCTGTCCATCGACACTTCATTTCACTACCAACCTTTCATACTGTAGTGTTACCAACTGATTCTAAATACTTCAAATGATATTTAGAGTATAAAAACGTCTTGTGAGACTGGCTTTGAATCAGAACCACTATGGGTAACTTCAAAGGACGACAAACTCAAATTTTGCAATTCTGATGATGGTATTCATGAAAATATTCTTCTTTTTTTTGAAGTCTACTATTTTTTCTGTGAAATGATGAAGTAGAAAGCTAAAACCTCTTTTCCAAACTAATCTCTGTCAATTTAAGTTTCAATTAATGTTCTTTACAAGTACTACAAAAATAATAAGTATTGTCTTATTTGCAGCTTCTTTTGCATCACGTCATACCCGGATCGTTCAAGGTAGAGTCGCTACAAGATGAAATGACTGGTGTATCATTGGCTGGAACGCAATTGAGGGTCAATCAGTACGACATGCACGACATAGAATGGAATGACATCAAAATTTTTTGGGCTGTTCGGCATCCCATTGGTTCGATTTTGATTCGTAGAGAAAAATTGGACAAAAATCACTCAACGACATCATATAGTAATGAGCTGAAAAGAGGCAAAAAAATAAAATTTGGAAACAATTAACAGCATAAATGTGTAGTACACAAAATTCTCTATCGATCAATATGTACTACGACATGATAGATTAAACATTTATTGAGATATGGAGCCACAAAAACACATGACAATAAAACGGACAAAATGTTTGAAACACTTAATACTTTAGAAATTAGTTCCGAATGCATAGGTTGCCGATTCTACTTATAAAGACGACAGTACTGAATACATATTCTAAATAGAACACCTCTCGAGGACTATATCATTTGAGGCCATAATATAGGTATTCTGCACAACTGAACCGTTTTATCTACATACAGTGTGCCCCTCATTATTCAGAGTTGAATAACCATTGTTTATTGTTAATTTCATCGTGTAAATGATTGTCATTACGATCGGTGTACGATAACAAATAATGAAAAGAATTAAAATTAATTACCCTACTCAAAGATAGACGTCTTACTTAGTCAAGGCATTTTCATTGTTATGCTCTGAAAAGTTTATTTTCGACCGAGTAAGTCGATCGTAAGAATCCATTACTAGAAATTCATGAAGAGATGAACCCATTTCTTTTTTGTTGGGGAATTTGAAATGTTTATTAGGATGAATTGTTTTGAGTAGTGTGAACTTGGGGATACTTGGAAGGTAGAAAAAGTCCCTACATTCAAAAGTGCATCCAAACAATCAAAAAGTAATCAAAACTAATTTTTCAAACATAGTAAACCATCAGTAGTATCTGTATCAATGAAATAAATGGAGTATATTTATTAAAATGCAAATTAAACACCAGCCAGACCTACAAAGAACCTACATTAGAAACTATATGTTTAAATATAATCCTGAGGTCGTAGCTGTTATGTTTCTGTACAGTCAGTTTGGTATCAATACCCTGTACTAGTCATAGGACACAATACAGGAAAATGACACATGACAGCACCTTGACAGACAATACCTTGTCCATCGACACTTCATCTCACTACCAACCTTTCATACTAAAGTGTTGCCAACTGATTCCAGAATATTAATTCCTGTACATGATAGTAGCAAATACTTATGATATTTGTAGTATAAAAACGTCTTGTGAGACTGGCTTTGACATGGGATACCGAGTTGTGAGTTTATATTCATGAATAAAACTCACATATCTGCACTACGAGTATATTGTTTCGAAATATGTGTGAAATAAATTTGCCTGTTTTTTACCTATAGATGTCACAACTGTCGCTCAAGGGACGGTAATTTTTTGACAGATAAAATCAAAAATTATATCATTTACAGTAAATCACCAAATTGCAAATGGTGAAGAATAAGTTCTATGATTTTCCGGACTTTTAACTTGTCGCGATTTGAAAAATAAATGAATCTGGATCGATAGAGAAAGTAATACAGAAGTGTGATGATGGGCAAACAGGGTTTCCCCAAAAAGTTACCATGTAATATAATAATAATAATAACAAATGAATGAATAATGATAACTTTTGAGGATTTGAAAACAATAAGAGAATATTTTCTCAGACGTTGGTCATTTTGAAAAATTTGGGTTTCACATTACACGGTAATTTTTCGGTAACTATTTAGATTGTCACCTCAGCAGATTCTTTATCGATCCAGATTCATTTTTCAGATTGTGCAAAGATAATAACATAAAAAGCATCATGAAACATTGACTCCTCAACAAAAATATTATTCAAAGGGAATAATATATTTCATGAAAATTCTGGAAAAATCTTTCATTTGCTAAATATACATATTTCTGTAATATTTTAGATAATATATGGCTATATATTATTGTTACTTCTAGATACTGAAGAAAGATAACTCAATTTATGGTATTCAATCGAAACAATATAAAAAACTAATTGGTTAATTTATATTTTTTTCTCAGGTAACTACTGTAAATGGGGCCCAAATATCGGATGAGAGAAAAGACATAAAAATTCCTCAAGGGGTAGCACACGCCGTAGATAGGGTGATGTTTCCCTTGCCTGTTGGTGACATCGTACAAACTCTGCAGTCAGACAGAGAGAGAAGATTCACTAGTTTCTTGAGAGCAGTTTTCGCTTCCGGACTCAACGAAATGTTGCAAGGTAAAAAACACCCGAATGCATATTAATCTGGAATCTAGTTGACTTTTTTATCACTTATGTTCTCAGAAAAACTTTCTACTTTACCATTTGATACCATATCAGTATTATATCTATTTAGTCGTTCGATAAACTTTTTTATTTCAGGTACCAAAACATTCACCCTGTTTGCCCCAACCGAAAAAGCTTTTGCAGGATTGTCTTCCGCAGATCTCAGCAAAATCGTTACAGATAAAGTATTATCGAGAGAGCTGGTACTTAGGCATCTATTGTCGGGTACTCTGTACACTAACGGCATGCGGTACTACCAAATCAAAGATAGTTTGTTGCAAGACAAACAGCTCACGTTTAGTAAACAGTCGGGTAAGATTTGCTTTCTGTAGTGCTTTTTGATGTATGGATGGTTCTGTTGATGTTCCATTATCAAGTTCCCACTGAAAACTGTAGTAATTACCTGTCTTAGCTGTTTGACAAGGGAACAGAGTAGCCAAAACGCTCACCAGATTTATATCCATTGGAACAGTTTTCCGTGAAATTGTTTTGAAGTGAAATACGCAACTCTAAAGCCTTTTCTTCAGATGATTTCTAATGAAAGCTATTTTTTCTGTTCCAGGGAAAGTAAAAGTGAACAACTACCAGCTTGTAACTCAGAATATTCCAACGACGAACGGTGTTATACATGCGATAGATTCCCTACTCTGACGTGTCTTTGCCTGGCTTTAATTTATTTACCCATCATCAGTGTCACTGCATACTTTGATACATCAAAAATTGGATGTATACAGTGTGTGGAAGCAATAATAGGACCTTAATGGGAATTGAAGATAAAGGGGAAATTATTTATTGTTCAAATGGTTGTTAGAGTAAACGGTTTTTATTGTTGTTCTCAGATCATTTTCAGTCGACTCATATTTGTTTTTCTCACTTATTTTTCTCGTGTTCAAGTTTTGTTGGTGTGTCAATTTCTTTTAAGACTAAATTTTGTGCAAATCTCTACACAAAAAAAGAATCATCGTACATCTTAAATTAAAGATATGTATTTTATTTAATTTAGGTTAAGAACTGTACATTTTATTGTAATATATTTTATTTTAAATATTATTTGCGTCTTTTCATGGCAACTGACTTTCTCTTTTTCCGGTGGTAAACATTCGATTTGATTCATAACAAGCCATTGAATTTTCTACATCAGTTTATTGATAACATGTCTGAAAACTGTGTCGAGGAGAGATACATAAGTATAAGAAAATAAACTTTTCGAAATAAAGTTTCGAAATATTCATCTTTCCCAACTACTTTCACCCTAAGTGCTGGTAAATGCCTGCCGGAAAACAATTACTTTCCCGTCCAATACTACGCTGGATATTGAACTATATCTGACAGACATTTATGCAAGATTTCTTACCGAATTTACTCTTAGATGTTGATTCTTGCGCCATCTATTAACAACTGTACCAAATTGGGTCAATTTCATTTCTAGCGTCCAGAGTTTTTGACAAAATAGAAGCGAATCTGTTTAAACACAAGGGTTCTACCTTTGTATATAGTCTATATACAGAGGTTCTACGCATCTTTGCCTATATGCAATGTTGTAAGTAAATGTCAAACGAACACGTGCAAAATTCTACTAAAAATACATAATTTGCCCGATAGATGGCAGTAAAACGCAACTTACTTTGGAATGGCACGTCAGTGAAACCATTTTCTGAATACGTGGTGGAATTCACCATAACTTGATGAAAATCCTCGACTTTTATACGAGAATTGAACTACCTCCGCGACTAGCGATGCAAGACTATTATCTTTTCTATCAAAAAGAACCAATGTTTCCAACTGGATGAACTATAAATTCGCTACACATGAACCAAAATTCCGCTACTCTGCGTCATATTCCGCTACGCTGACGGAACCAGATCGTGCACGCGCCCCATCTAAAATTAAACACCACAAAACTTACAGTTTGTGATACCACAAAACTCAACTGTCACTAGCGCCAGGAATCGGGATCATGCTAATTTTCAACCGCGCAACTCAATAGATGGCACCTAATTTCCTAAATTTACAACAGTTAATTTTTGAAAGTAGTCGTCTCGACCAAATATTTCTTAGCTTGAAATAATGATTTTGAAAAGTAAAAATATATATCAATTTGTTCACTTACGTACAATCACACTGAGCTCTTGAACGATCATTCGCGACAGATCTAATCCATCCTTTCAAGTTGGAATCAGACAACCAATTTTGTGAAAAACTGCGAGACTTTTTGTATTTTTTTTAACATGTCTCGTTCCCCTCAATTTCAACTGCAGTAGCTTTATCGCTTGATCTACAATCAGATGAACTATCTTCTATTTCCACTGTAATTTGTTCCATATAATTTATAATACTAGACTTTTAGTTTCAAGTTATTGGAGGCTATATGGTTTGTGATATGAATGAAACTATCGAAAATTATTCTTCTTCTCGTCCGTCATTTAATGGCCTCAGCTACTAAGACTATTAACGTATTGACTTTGCATTCAAGTGCTGTCCACTGTCTCTTCTTCTTCTATATTTTTTTCAATATTGATTGTAATTCCGCTACGGTTGGCAACTCTAAAGGAACTTAAAATGATCCCTTCTCACACGAATTTCAGCCAACCTTTTAGCAATATTGAAATAAAAGTCAAGTACTCCGGATCATTAAAGTATTTTTAATGATTTCATTGCATATAAAAACAATATAGTTTCAAAGAAACAACCGAAACAATTTGCATAACCTTCTACTTGATCAACTTGTATGGAATTGGAATAAATCCAAACTAGGCAGGTCGAGGTTCAAAGTAGCGCTGTTCATTTCCACATCAGGCTCTGTTATTTTCTTAAATCTCTCATTAACGAATTGGTCAACGTTCATAACCTCATCGGAACTAGTGGAATTGTCTAATAAAGTCCCTCCCGTGTCAACACTGGTCATCATCAGTTCATCCACTGATGTCCTGATATTCGATAAGTGCAAGATTGAATTATCAGACAGCATTTCGCTGTCAATGTGGGGCGTTTCGTTTTTTTCCACAGCAACTTCAGGTGGGATTTTGAGCTCAGGTGTTAGGTCAGGTTTTGTTTTTGGGATACATTGGTCAGGCGAGTCTTTGGAAGCATCTTTTGTCTCTACTTCGAGGTACGCAGTTTCTGGATTGATTTCAGCAACTGATTCAATTGGTTCTCCTACAGCTTCCGCTACTTTCACGTTCTCTTTCGGAGGTTTCCCTGAATCATCGGAAGGTTTGAAAAAGTCTGTGGTTGTCAGCAACTGCAGAACTGTAACGTCCTTGTATAACTCATTGTCGTTGAAGCAGTACGGCCCCGGCTTCAGTCCTATAGCGTTACCCAACACTTTGTCTACTTCGACGAAGTTTTTATTGAGCTCCACCTTCTTGAACAAGGCGCTCGTGAGAAGCAGCAAGTTGTGCATCAGATTCGTCAACTCCTCACAGAACTTGGCTCCCCTCTGTGCTTGCGGACACTTTTGGGTTATGTCCACCAAGAAGTTCCACACGTCGAAGTTTGCCTTCTTTTCGTTTTGGGGCATGGGTCCGTGGTCTGGGTGTTTCTGAATGTGCTGCATCATCTTGGTTTTGCCTAAGTACGCTTTACGACACTTGGGGCACCTGTACTGGGCTGCTATTGTCCTTCGTTGCTGGTGGAATTCCAGGCCCTGCACGCGGCTCGGCTTGCTTTCAGTGGGGGGCTCGAGGAACTTTGGGAATTCTGTGGTTTTCACATCTGTGTTTTTATTGTCATTGGTTTCTAGCTTTTCAAAATCCTGCAACAATCTGAATTGAAACAGAGGTATTTGGGTAGTAATTCGTTATCCAGTGTGGGACAAAATTTTGAAAATTTTATGTCTTCCTCAGAACAAGAATTGAAATCGAATATGAAAAGCCATGTTTGCCAAAAATATTGAAAATATCTTATAGAAACATTCGCTCACTGCGTTATCACTTGCAGCTCATCAAACTCATGCTTTCATTCATAACTTGAGTTGAAAACAAAAATTATCTATCTGGATAACGAAATATTACCACTACTTACTAATGTTTCGTAATTACATTGACTATATGTTTGGGAATTTTGACCACTCTACCCGATCTTGTTCTGTGTGCGAGTTTTGGTACTTTTGCCTGATCCTGTTTTTGTACTTTTGCTTGATCTTTGTGGTTAGTTTCCTTACTTGTAACTGAATTTGTGACTCGGTCCTTCTTTTTCTTTGGTCTGCCTCTCTTAAAGTTGAGTACAGGCTAAAACAAATTGTTCCCTGTCATTAAAATTGATTGTTTACATCTACGAAATGGGACTCCTTATAACGAATTTGCTCAAGAAGATAATGAATAGAATATGTCATGTTTCTCATTAAACTAAAAAGTATATTTAATAACTAACTGGTGTAGTTGGCTGTATTGCTTCAACATTTGGTTGAGTTTGGACTACTTCAAACACATAATTCGCTGGAGATTCTGAAACACTCAGAGTGTTAAGGTCTTCAATTTCAACAGGCACTACCGACTGTACATACAGTTGTTGACCATCTTTTGTGGCATTTGGCAAAAAGCAAATTTGAGCAAATTTATCTGTGTTTTTGGAATCTTCAACTTCTCTGAGATGTAAACCATTCTGAAATGAATAAATCTTTGGTAACGAACTACTGAAATAACTAATTAATATACTATTGACAGTGAAAACTTATTTTCATCAACATTTTAAAAGCAGTTCACAAGATATTTGGAAAGTTGACTTGATTTATAATGTCCCCTAGCACCTTACCTCCTTCCATTCCAGCACATATGGAACACTAATGTTTCCAGACATAATATTTAACCAAAACAATACCGGTGTACAAAAAAAACTGTTTGATTGTTTATAAATAGAGCTTAAACCACCACACTGAAAAGTAGTTTTGAGGTTAAAAGTGTTAACTGTCAAATTTCATTTCTATATTCTTCTTTATTTTAATTTTCCCTTTGGTGAAATTAGGTACATACTTTTCACGTTATCGTTAAACTAACGTTATACCGACATAATTTTGGTTCTACTGAATTTCATCAGATTCTTTTCTTTATTTAAACACATTACAAAGTGAACATTCGTAGCAAGTCAATGGGTTTGCAGACAAGTTTGATATTGACATGAAATGACAATCAAATATGAATTATTGAGTGATTGATATGATTTGTAAACGAACCAGCTAATCATCTTGACACAAATATTGAAAACTGTATCGATAAGAAAATGAAAAAAGTGTTATTGCATTCTGCGAATAAAAAACCATGCAGTTTGTTAATTACTACGCGCAGTACCTTATGAAAAGGAATCAACATAGATTATAGTTCATAGAAACTTGACCATCAAAATCGAATTGCCTCAATATTAGGTCCTCTTCTGTAAGATTTTCTGTGATTTTGTGACCGAATCTATGTCCGAGATGAAACAGAATTATATCTGATGAAAATAGATTTTTCCCTCTATTATTATACAACGCACGAACTGAAACATCTTTAAAAGTTGACAAAATAAGAAAAAAGGTAATTTGGTAACATATTTTGTCGAACAGTAACATTTTGAAAATAAAGTAACATCAGGAGCATCACTAGTTTGCAGATATAATTGAACGTACAATGTAGATTCAGTGTAGACATCTGCACTTTCACCATCGTGGCCTTAGCATCAAGTTTTGAATTTCCAATTGGAATAGAACATGGAAACTATAGATTTCGTTAACATTTAGCTGAATATTTCCACTACCTGGCGATATGTCACGTCAGGTAGCGAATTGAGTTTGAGAAGAAGATTTATGAGTGACATTGACATCTTCATGTTTTGAAGTGTCTGCTCTATAATGTGACTTGACTCGACTCTTTTATCTTCATTTAAGTTAATGACCGTTGTCTCTAATTGACTGCAAAAATGCCGTACGCAAATCAACCCTCTGTTCATATAACAGATCTGACCGACGATAATTGCAAATTTTTCATCGAGGACACTGATTTGAGGTGAGTTTCAGTTCCTTATAGTGTTCTATAAGTGATCCAACTTTTTTTTATTACACGTTTTACACTTTCAGTGTTGCTAACAGCATTCGCCGCGTCCTTATTGCCGAAACCCCGACACTAGCAATAGATTGGGTTAAACTAGAAGCTAATTCCACTGTATTGAGTGACGAGTTCTTGGCACATCGAATAGGGCTCATTCCACTCGTTTCGGATGAGGTAGTACAACGTTTGCAGTATCCCAGGGTGAGTAATGGTCTGACAAAAGATGATCCTTTTATTTCATAATCAGCTGGCAGCAATATGCAACAAATGTTTATCCTACCAAAAAGTAGAAAACCGTAAGAGAGGGACCTACTTGAATTATTCCGACTATTGCGACTCTGCTTGTTCCTTGTGGGTTAACTTTTTCCGTATTCCAGGACTGCGTGTGTCCAGACTTTTGCCAGGAGTGCAGTGTGGAATTTACATTGGACGTTAAATGTACCGATGACCAAACACGCCACGTGACGACAGCAGATTTCAAATCCAGCGACCCCAGAGTCATTCCAGCGACTTCCAAACATCGAGACGACGAGTCGTCAGAGTATGGGGAAAACGACGAGATACTGTTGATCAAGCTGCGTAAAGGACAGGAGCTCAAAGTTAGGGCGTTTGCGAAAAAGGGGTTCGGGAAGGAGCATGCTAAGTGGAACCCCACTTGCGGCGTTGCCTTCGAATATGATCCTGATAATGCCATGAGACACACGCTCTTTCCCAAGCCGGATGAGTGGCCAAAAAGCGAATTCAGTGAACTGGACGATGACCAATGTGAGTTACTGTTGATTTTTTCGTGTTTGACAGCATATTTTGAGACACTGGTGTTCCACAAGGCACTATTCCAGGTCCAACTATGCTTTCAGTTATGGTTTTTGATCTGCTCTGGAAATCACATCTTGTAACAAATGCATCATTTTTCAGTTGAGGCACCATTCAATTGGGAACTGAAGCCAAACAAATTCTTCTTCAACGTAGAAGCTGCAGGGTTACTTAAGCCAGAGAATATTGTCACAATGGGGGTTGCAATGCTGAAAGAAAAATTGTCTAACTTACAGACGCAGTTGAGTCACGAATTGCAGAATGATGAACTTTCCATTGCTATTTAGACTAGATAGATGTTTATAAATTATTAAGTTAATAAATTGGGTTTTAGATATCGTTTTCATTTTATTTTCTAGATGTTTAATATTCAGTAAAAGTAGGGCTGAGACGACTTGAAATATATTTATTAAAAGTAACAACATTTTCTGTTGAACAAATAGTGATTACAATTCAAAATTCAAACGAAAATCACAAAACTAAAATCCGAAACTGATTAGTGAGAGTGATGGCATCTTCTACAAAGACGCCATCAAGAAGATCAGCTGAGAGCACAATTCTAGCATATTGAAGATAAGTGTGGCTTCCCAAGGCGGTCAGTTGCAAAGGCTAGCTTTGACATTGACCCGTCGATGACATTATTCCTATCTTTCACTGTAAGGCCACTAAAATAAGCTGAGTCATCATTCTTGTCGATAGAATTTGATTGTGTTAACCACAGAATACTGCTGTGGAAGCTACATCATTGTGGAATCCTACCTTACAGGATGTAGACAGTTTGTTAAAACCAATAGTTGCTCAAGTACAAAGAATGTGGAAGCAGGAGTGCCCCAAGGATCGATCTTAGGACCCATATTTTTTTTACTATATGTAAATGACCTGGCTACTGTACGTATTTCTGGTAGTTTCACCATTTTTGCAGATGATGCCACACTTTTGTGGCATAATATAAATCAACAGAATTCATATGAAAGATTCTGTAATGACCTCAGCAAAACTAAACAATGGTGCAATGCAAATCTGCTGTCATTTAACACTAAAAAAACTAGTATAATCACTTTTAAGTGTAATCTACCAGAAATGGCATAGCATTTTGTGGTGGATGCAGTAAACAGCTGTTTCAATCTGTTTTCATATTACAAAAACTTGCGGTATGGTATCTCTGTGGAGCAAAGTGGAATGATCCTTGTAAGCCACTGTTTTTAATGCATGGAATTTCAACTGTAACTTCCTTGTTTATTCTTGAATAAACATGCCTTATACACAAGAAAAAAGGTACCTTTACTTCTCCGCCTCACTATAATACTAGACAAGCTTGCCAATTAAAGGTTCCTGGTCAAAATGGCTTACTATACATTAAATGAATTTGTTAAGGATAGTCTCGACACAATAATATTCATGTGTATATATGTATGTATGTTTGTATCTGTGTGTATATGTATGTATGTTTGTATATAGGTGTATATGTAAGTATGTTTGTATATACGTGTATATGTAAGTATGTTTGTATGTAGGTGTATATGTATGTATGTTTGTATATGTGTGTATATGTATGTATGTTTTTACCCATATACAAGATTACACTTTAACAAAGATACTGTTTGTATGCTCATTTGTGTATATTAGTACATTTATATAGTTACTCAACAATTTATTATTATTTATAGTTATTTTTTTTAGCAGAAAAATGTTTGTCGACAAGATGTGTTTCTTATGACATTGAACGTATCTCTCTCTCTCTCACCATTCTTTCAAAAAATATTCATTCATCCATCAATGTCTTCAAAGTAATCACCCTTAGAGCCTCAAAGCCGTTCTTATATGCACTTTTTGGTATGTCCTTGAACTCCATCAACGAATCAGTTTTTGTCTCATCAATCTTGGCAAAACGCCGCCCTTTCATGGGTCTCTTCAATCTTTGTAACAGGAAAAAGTCACTGGAGCTAAATCTGGTGAATACGGTGGTGCTATCTACATGGCCATTCGAAATTTTTCCTAAGAAAAGTATATTCTTTATAATCCTTCTGTTTTCTAGTAATTCTATGTATAGTTCGTCTCTGATTGGTCCATGCGATGTAAAACCTGGCGCACTGCCGTATTTTTTAAAATACAAATATTTCAGAAATTACTTTTGTTTTGTTTTAAAAATCTGTTTTGCTACTAATGTTTCATGGTATTGTTTACCTATATAAAAACACTAATAGGGTAAATAACTATTTAATTCATTAACAATTGCAATTTACAACTTATTGGTTCTGATGACAACAAAGGCTTCTGAAATATTCACTGTGAATGAAAGGTGAGGAGTAACAATAATACAATTGAAGATTTCATTTTCATCGGAACTGTGAACACTTCATCTGAATATATACAAAGGACTTCCTAAACATACTACTTACATCCACTAGACAAGTTATGGCAGTTTTCACAGAATTAAATAAGTATTTACATGGACTATTTACAGTGTGTCGTAATTGCTATGGGGTTTTATAATACATATCAGTACATAATACTATAGACTTTCATTTGGTTTGGTTACAAATCTTCAGCTCGAGACAAATTTGAACAGAAAACAAAATACAGTGAAACCGCGGGCTATTGATTGTGCCTGAACGGTTTACTAGCTGTGGTCCGTTGGACAAGAATCCAACATAACGTCTTTCAATTTTTTCATTTCTGACCAATCCACCAGCTCAGAATTCACTCTTAGTTTCTTCAAACATCCTTTAAAGTTCATTGCGGACTTTGAGGTACCTTTAGGGGCATCATCTGCAAGAAACATAAAAAAAGGATTATTAGAATTATTGGGCTGATTCAATTTTTTCCGTTTTCATGAGTTATTAAGTTGAAATTGTTTTGACGCAAAAGTATATCGCCCGAATCGAGTACAAATGCTGAATTGATAGGCTTCGACAGAATTTCCAATTCAAAATGTTTCTCTAACCTGGCAATCCCCCAATATACAATGGCGCTTCCATCTCACCCATGCCGGAATCGACATCAGACACCACCCAACTCTTCCTGATTCCATCCACGTTGACCGTGAGCTCTGAAGTGGAATACACCGCGGTCACGTTATGCCATCTATTGTTGCAGAGTGAAAAGGCCGAATCGAGATTGTTGGTAACGTTTGATACTACACCGTTTCCTACGTTCACTGCCATGACGATAGCTCCATTCTGTAGTTCCACCGATAGAGCTGGAGAGTCCCCGTGATTTGAAACGCTCAGGAGAATGCCGTTCTGTTCCGAGGTGCGGAATTCGAAGCTGAGTTCCATCATTTCGTCTACTCGGAAATTGGCTGCTAAAAACAGTATTTTTTTTATGAATTTTTGAATAATATGCTTACATTTGATGCTTACTTAGATGTGACACATCTATAGCCGCACATAAAACCGATTGCCGGAGTGGCGACGGTTCCCATGTGCAAGAGATGGTGCGACAGACAATTAGTCAGTCAGTGAGTCAATCAGTAAGTCAGTCAGTGAGACAGTCGGTCACTGACTAAGTCATTCAATCAGTGAGTCGGGCAGTCAGTCAGTGGGCCAGTCAGTCAGTCAGTCGGTCAGCTCATTGGTGAGTCAGTCAGTCAGTGAATAAGCAATTCAGTCAGTGAGTGAACCAGTCAGTCATTCAGACAGTGAGTGAGTGAGTCAGTTAGTCAGTGAATAAGCCAGTCAGTCAGTGAGTGAGTCAGCCAGTTAGTCAGTGAGGGAATCAATCAGTCAGTTAGCTAGTCACTGTGAATCAGTCGGTCAGCTCGTAAGTCAGAGAATCAGTTAGTAACTGAGTCAATCTGTCAGTGAGTAAGCTCGTTAGTGAGTCAGTTAGTCAATCAATCAATCAGTGGGTTGGTTAACCAGTTATTGTGATCCGTGAGTCAGTCAGTGAGTCAGTTAGTCGGCCAGCCAGTCGCCGAGTCTAAATACGTTACTCTTAATATGTATACTCACTAATTGTGCCATAAGCATTTCCGTTGAAGTATGCACCCTCTTCAACATTAGAAAAACATCGACCAACATTAGAACGAGTTACGAGTTCATCACTGCCTTCCGAAAAAAAATGTGACTTCATACAACCTCTGAAGAAATGCAAACTCTGTATCTGTAAAGTGAGGTGAAATGAAACTCTCAATTTGGACCAATTATTACGTCATATTCTGAGTTTAACGAAGGAATGCAGTAACTTACCTTTTTATTCTTCCTAGAAGATTCCTTATGGTGGGGATCCCCCCCAAAATATATCTCATCTGCGACATTTATGCTGAATCTAGTTTTCTTCTGAGTGTTGTCGATTTTGATGAGCAATTTGTTTTTAGTTTTCTTTAATTGAACGACATGCCACTCACCGTCACTGAGTAGGTTGGATGCTACAGGAAGAGACCTGAACTTTTTCTTTCCAGCCTTTTTATTTAGCCACAACTGACCATCTTGCAACTCCAAGGATATATATCTCGAGCGCCTACCTCTCTGTGATAAAATCAATATAAATATCAAGAAATGTTTATGTACTAAAGCGTGAAAGGACTATAAAAAACGATAATCACACACGCAACTGTGAATTTACATTTATGACTGTAAATTTGTGAATTTACAGTTGTAACCGAGAACTCACGCTTTCAACTGTTAATTCACAGTTGTTACAGTTAATTCACAGTTATGAGTGTGAATTGTGGGGAAATGATATCGATTTTTGTGGCCCAGAACTCTCACCGAGATGAAAATCAAGCCATCTGGACTGAAGGTCCTGAAGTCGAATTGCAGCGCCCTGTCTTTTCTCCAGAAATTTGTTTTTACATGGACGTAGCTGTCTGGTCTACCAAGAAATTTGTCGGCACCCGGTATTGGTTTGGGACTGTTGAATTCTATGCATCTCTCAGTATTTTGCATCGAGTTCGACAGATTTGGAATGGAGAGACTTCTCAGTTTGGGAGCGGAACTGGTTAACTTCGGTAGGGGTTTTTCTCTGCCGATTTCCACGTTTGAGAAGTTTTTCACAGTTGTTGCGTTGAATGCCAATAACCTGGAAGTGGTTGATTCAATACAATAAAAAACGTATAAAAGTTATTGAGTACATTATAATCAATTCACTGGAAAATTATATCAAAACAACTCTTGATATTATCATAGAGTACTATCCTGCATACAATGAAGGGAAAATGATATTTCAACAAAAAGGATCTTCTACACTTCACTCACAAAGTGTACGTAATTAAGTGAATAACATGGTTTCGAGGTCATTGAATAGGACGAAGAACAAAAATTGAGTGGCCACTTCACTCACCTGATTTGAGATCGTCAGATTATTTCACGAAGTTTACCGAACTTTCCCTGAATTATTGAAAGGCATGTGTATGTCTCGAAGTGACATCAGAAGTCCTCTAAAATGTACGACAACGGGTTGAAGATAACCTGTATCACTACATCAGTATCTCTCGTCAGGTTTGACGGAGGTCGTAGGATTTCTTCCTGGTGTTTCTAGCACGCATGGCTACCTTCCTCAGAGGTGCCTTCATTCCTCATGTTGGAAGCGTACTGTTATGTCCTGCACGTCGTCTTGATTTCAGACAGGTTGAAGCCTGGCTCCCTTACCCTTTGAACTGATGTTTGCCAGAAGGACAAACGGGTACACTGTTGTGTGGTCGATCGAAAATTATATTTATACTCTAAACGAGATGGTGGGGGAAGCCGAAGAAGCGGCGCAGTAGGTTGTTATGATGGTGTGAGGATGTGCTTTTATGTAAACTTCTTTTTCTAATATGGCGTGATTTTAATTGTGGGTTATATCAATGATTCCTTGTTTACATTATGTATTGACGTTTCTATAAATTTATATTTCAATTGGAGCGAACAGATATTGTGACATCCTTCAATTCATAAGTTTCAAAATTTCGCAATTTCTCAGGTTACATTTTTTAAATCTTAATATACAGTGACTGTTTTCATTGAAGTCCCCTCTTATGACGTGTGTCAAACGTCAACTTTAGTGACATATGACACAAGTGTATGGAGGATTAAAAAACTCCCCAACTACTTCGGATGGATGGTTGAAACGAGGTTTTGCAACAGTTTTTTCCCTTCACAGACAAAATTGACACATTACTCTGGCAGTTTATATATTTTCAATTGACGTTTTGTTCATGAATTCACAACTGTTACACAGTTCTCAACCAGTAGCTACGTTTCAAATTCCCAATAGTAGTTTCTTGTAATGGACAATTTATTTTCAGCTTACCTTTCGTTTATAACGATTTCTCTGATACCTCCAGAGAAACCACTGATCTCGTCCCCGATTTGAACCCAATCCATGACCATTCTCTTGGTATCCTCGAGCTTCTCTGTCTTGCCATTGATCGTCAAACTTTTATCTTCTTTTGTCATCTTCAATTCTACGTTATTATAATCGTTCAATGTGAGAGTGGTGAAATTATATTCTACCCCATTGATGGCTAGTTTCAGATCGCTGAGTGCTATAGTGTTGATACTCCTTTGGTTGAGTTTATCGAATTTCATGATAACCCCGCTAGGACTCACGGGTCTGAGGATGAAGCTGATGCTGTGGAGTTTTCCAAAGGCTGCTTCAATTGAGATCTGACCACTGCGGTGAATCCATGCCTTGTTAAAAGTTATTGCCTGAAATCAATGGAAAGGTTTACACTGAAAATAACAAACTTACATCGAAATCTACTGAACAGTTTTTTATAAGATTATGTCATATATCGGCATGCCATTAAGAAAATGAAGTATTATTATTATAATAATGTTAATTTCCAGACATTCCAGCAGGTTTAATGTTTGTCCTGTATTTTCTGTATGTAATATACCGTCCATATACACACTTACCACCTCTAAAAGGTGGAAAGTGTAGGTGAAATTACTTCAAAACTTCTATTATGTTCCAAAATTCTTTTTTTTGAATTTCTTGATGTTTTTCTAACATACATTTTTGGGCACGATACACATGTTAGTTTGTAAACCTCTGGTTTGTTATCTTTGTCTATTTTTGATTAGTTGTTCTTTATATTTGCATAGTATATGAGACTAGTAGCTTCTTGCTAGAGCTGTCAGAAAGAGACAGAAATAACAAATCAGGGGTCTACATATATATAGTAAAACCAATAATGATTGAGAGTAAAGCGCGTTGTCATATCTGAATTTTACGTTACCAGTTTATAGCAGAATCAAAATATAGTAAGCAGTAGAGTTGTAGGTTGTGGCAAATTATAAATAATACACAATACTAGTACGATTAAAAGGTATTATTTATGACAAAAATCAGTAATGAGCTTGTAATGAGTAATACTNTAATATTGTTAATTTATTTGGTACCTACTATAATTACCACGATTATTACTCCGTTTTCATAAGGCCCACCTAATGACTACAATGATTAGATAAATTAACCCTCTCAAAAATTAATAAGCACGCCCCCGATTTGCTGTCAACTGGGCTTACTTCTACTCTCAATCATTATTGGTATAGGAAGTATGGGAACATAAACAAATATAGTTCCGAAACTTTGGTGAGATGAACAACGAAATCCACTAAAATAAAAAATAAAGGACAACAATTAAACCTGCTGGGATCTCTGGAAATCAGTGAACGCATATCTGTTTGAAGTTCCCAAAAATGACACCTGACTTTAATTTTCTGTGTTCATCAACATACTTACATCTCTGGAAGTTTTGATGATACCGTAAGAAATAGTTTCATTGGTTAGCTCGTATTTCTGTGAAGTTTGCCCCAAGAATCCTAAAAGCGACGCAGTGTCAATGGGGACGCATGCTTTGTTGAAAGTCGGAGGAACACCTCCAAGGTAGTGTCTGGCTTCCTTGATCTTGAAAACGTTTTTTTTATTCAGCTGCTCGTCTACAATTTTCGGCTTTTGTCCGTCAACAACGAGACTGTACGTTTGGATCCCTTTCTCGAAGGTCATACCGATTTCAATATTGTGTCTCAACGCGTTGTTGACTCTGAGTTTCTTTGACAGAAGAACCTCTTGGCCGTTACTGTGTTTTGTGACGAAATTGACGTGGCCATTTTTCAGGAATAGGGCTATGTACGAGCAGTTCTTCTCCTGAAAATAATAATGTATAACAGAGATAATCTCTCCGATTATTCAATTGATGAGGTAAATAACGAATTCTTTACAGAGAAAAAATTGCTGAGCAAACAATACAAGCATCATTTTTTTATCATAAATCAACTTTTATGGCACGAAATAATTCTGTCAGCAAACATTGTATCCAACTTGAACGCCTTCAGAAGCTATTTTTGAAATTTCTGGTCTATAACACAGGTGTAAATCATCCTGAAAGAGAAATTGCTCGTTTTGTTCCACATAATCAGTTCAATTGTGTTCGATAGAAAGCCTGTTATTCTACGAATAGCACAACAGACTCCTTGGTGCTTTCAAGAACAGTTCAACAGACTCCTCGGTGCCTTTGAGAATAGTGGGATTATAACGGGTGATTATTTGAGAGGTATAGGATTTGATTTTCAAATCAACACAAGCAATTTGAAATCGATAGAACGATCAATATAATTTAATGTTTGAAAATGATTTCATGTAAATGCTGCCCGCGGCTCCGCTTTAGATGGTCCATGCGTAAGGTTCAATTTTGGCACACTCTCTTTAATATATCGACCGGTATTTCACGTATAAATGATTCAATATTGGCTTCCAGAGCGTCAGTCGTTGCTGGTTTATCCCTGTAGAGATAAGCCTCAACATGACCCCACAAGAAATAATCCAAAGGCGTTAAATCACACGATCTAGGCGGCCAATTGACGGGCCCCAAACGTGAGATAAACTATTCACATGTCAGGCATGTCCAAAGTCATCAATCATCATACGGTAGCGCTCGCCATTTACATTACCGTTCCGGCCACTGTCGTCTTCTAAGAAGTACGGCCCGATGATGCCACTGACCCATAATCCACACCAAACAGTGACTTTTTTGGGATGCATCGGTAGCTCTCGCAATGCTTGTGGCTGGTCTTCACCCCAGAAGTGGCAATTTTGCTTGTTAATGTATCCATTCAACCAGAAATGAGCCTCGTCACTGAACACAATTTTTCGATAAAAATGAGGATCTTCCTCCGACTTTGCCAACGCCCATTCACCAAATGTTACACGTTGTGAGAGGTCGTGTGGCTTCAATTCTTGCACCAGCTGTATCTTATAAGGTTTTACACCCAAATCCCTCCCAAAATTTTTCATGTAGTGGAGTAACAGAGGTCCAATTGCTGCGAACGGCGGCGAATCGACATTTCACGGTCATCACGAGCACTGGTGGATACAGCCAGTGCTCGGTCCTCACTCTACGTAAGCGTGTTGGTGGTTTAATGTCCAATAATGTAAACTGGGTTCGAAATTCAGTCACAAGCTCCCTCAGTAGGCCGACGAAACTGCCCATAAATTGGAAGAAATGCACGATGGACTTTCTTTACCGAGCATGAATTTTGATAATAAAATTCAATAATTTGCAAGCGTTATTCATTCGTAAGTCAAACTCTGGTTAAATTATAGACCAAAATGAACAAGTTTCACAATGACACAAGGCATGATTCACGCGTGATCTGTCAAAAACAGTGTTGCCAAAAAGATACCAGCAAAAAAATTACACTCATTACTATTTCCGTCACAACACTTACATATATGCTCACGTAGATAGTTGCGTTCTCATCAAAAGTATTGAAGTAAAATTTCAAAGCTAGCTCTCTGGGACTCAAAAACTGGTTGATCCCATACTCCCTGTATCCCTTCCCGTTGAAGAAACTTCTCTTGCCAGTGTCGACGGAAGTGATATTTCTGAAATAGGAACGTTCTCATCAACAAACTCACGCACTCAGTACTTCATTTACCTGTTCAATCCTTTGCAAGAACCAGAACTATTTGTGAATTTCCAGATACCGAAGTAGTTTTCGTTTAGCAAAACTTTGGCGACATATTCCTTGTCTGGAACAGACTTCGTTGTCAGGGATCCGATTTCAAGAATATCTTCGGGGCTCATGACGGACATTTCTGTAACTATCTCGCTCTTTTCCTCATCGTCAATCTGGACTTTTAAAAGGGCACCTACCCTGAAAAAAGTTTTTGTAGAGAAATTCTGATGCAGTGAATTGGGATGATTTGGAACGACAGATATCTGGGTGGTCTTAGAAGTACCCGGCCTGACCTAGAGATGGCGGTAGTTTGAAATAAATCAGTGTATTAGAAAGTACACTTTCTATAAATCATATGTTGCAAGCTTGAAGACGCTGTGTTGTTTAGTTTGCTCATACTTGAGCAAAAACAGTGTTGTGAAGATGTTTAACAGCAACAAAGTAGAATTCTTGCGTCGTTTCATAACCTCGGCGCCGCAAATGTGCTTACGCCTTGAAATCTAATCAAAAAGTTCAAGAACATGAAAAATAGAGATAAAAGTCCTAAAAATATGAGCGATAGCTCATTCGATTCGGAATCACCTCTAGAAAAATGTTTTGAAGGATTTTGGTGCAGGTAAAAAATTGCAATTGTTATTAACAAAATAAGAAAAAAAAGTTATTTAGTTTTTCGTTGATAACTCAAAAAAT